AAAAAACTATAGGCTCTCCTTGACCTCAGAAACCTTGTGGGACTGTCCTTGAAATTTTTAATTATTTTCCCTTCAATTATTAACTCTTTCTTGAAACTTTGGGCCTTTGCAGACTGCCAGAAAAAGTGAAAATGGAGTCCACTTTAACTGTCCTGGCTCAGGGAATCATGGGAATTGTATTTTTTTCTCAGACATTGGCCCTTCTCTGACAGGGAGCTCTGGTGCCACAATAAACTACAATTCCCATGATTCCCTAGCACTGAGTTTAAGTGGCCTCAATTTGCACTATTTCTGGCAGTCTGCAAAGGCCCTTTGTTGTATTATTAGGTCTCTTGCTTGCTTCCTCACAAAGTATATCACTATGTCTCTTGGAAGTCCTCTTCGTCTCACTGTCTATGAGTTAAGTCTGTACATAGTATCTATCTCCCATGGAAATTGTTCTACAGGTTCATCGATATAATGTGCCAAAATCGGTATAAGAAATTTATGAAGATTTTCATTTTCATGTTCTGGTATTCCCTTCAGTTTCACACAATTTTGTCTTAATTTATTTTCAGTTTGATCAGTGTTTCTTGGTCTTCATCCCTTTCTTTTATTGTTTTTTCCAGTTTTGTTTCCATTTCTTTTAAGTTACTTTCCAGGACTTCAACTTTTTCAGTTATCTTTGCCATATCCTTAGTGATTTTATTGAGTGAATCTTTTACCTCTTTCATTTCACTCTATCTCCAGTTTGATTTCCTCTTTTGTTTCAGTCCTTATTTTTAAATTGTCTTGTCTCATCTCCTCCCTGATCCTCCTAATCTCATCCAGAATCAAGTCATTTTGTTCTGACAGTCTTATTGGGTGTTCTACTGAAGATCTTCTTTGTGGAAGTGCTACTGTTTGTGATGTTGTTCTTTTCATGTTTGCCATGCCAAATGATCTAAGGGGGGTTGCAGACTGCCAGAAATAGTGCAAATTGAGTCCACTTTTAGGGTTAGGTTTAGGGTTAGGGAATCATGGGAACTGTATTTTATTGTGGCACCAGAGCTCTCTGACAGAGAAGGCTCAGTGTCTCAGAAAAAAAAAGAATTCCCATGATTCCCTAGCACTAACCCTAATCCTAAAAGTACACTCAATTTGCACTATTTCTGGCAGTCTGCAACCCCCCTTAATTTCTCTTCTCTTTTTCCTGTATTTTGCAATAGATATCAAATCTTATATCCACAGAATATCCCTTTCACTTTTCATTCTATTTAAACAGAGTATAGATTATGTATAAGCAAAGTACAATTATGTATAACAACAAAATTACAATTATTAGCTTCCCTCTAACCACTGATGGCAATATAACCTTTCGTATTATATTCCAAACTTTTTTAGTGTCACCAGATGTCTCCTTTTCATCTTTTTATATGTGTATGTGTATGTGTTAACTAGACACAATAATCAATTAGGCACTCTGCCATTTTTTTAGCAGTTTTACTTCTTTTCTCTTCTCAGAATTTTCAAGGTCAACACCTTTCTTTCTTATTCTATTTTCACTTTTTCAACACCCTCTCATTTATAAGATACAATATAATCAGTTCTGTTACCTCTTATGATGCTAATACAATAAATCTCTTCCTTTTCTACCAATTAACTACTATTGTACTCAAACCTAACAAACACAAATCAATACATCTCAACTGTCAGATTAATTTATATATATATAATAAAGTTTATAAAGTTTCTCTTGACTTAGCTCCACTTTTAATTCTTTATAATTAAATAGTTTCCTCTTCTCTCACTTTTAGTTCTTCTTTTCACATATATTCGTACTTTTGTAATGCTTTACTTTAAAGGTTTATCCTTAATAAATTTTTATTTTATTTTATTCTTTCAACTCTTCTCTCTTCTTTTCCTCATTTTCTTTTTTCCGTTGCTTAAACTATAAACAATATCCGTTTGCCTTTCTGGAGTATTTTATTTCACTGTATCAGTCACTTTCCTTGTGTTTCTTGTATTCTACTCACAATCTGACCTCCATCGCAATCAATAGTACAATTAGTAATTCTTTGTAACCTGACTCTTATCTTTTATCAGAGGATCAATTAATAATTCAGAAGCTCAATTAATAAATCTCCACTCCAGATCCTTAATACTTCATATCAATTGTTCATCCGCCAGTCCAATTTAAAGAAGAAAAAGAAAAAGGTAATCAAATTTCTGTTTTTTATTCGATGTCTTATAGATCTTATTTTATTTCAATATTGTTAATGGGATAATATTGCTTAAATTAAATATATTTCTAATTGTAATTGTACTAGCAGAGTTACTTGCAGAAATTTTGCTTTTGAAGGGTCTTGTTTTCCTTGTTCTCACTGTTTATTCTGAAGTATTCTGAAGAATGTGAAGTGGCATCTGGTGCTTGTACTGCTATAAATCAAAGCAGTGGTTGGCCATGGGAGTGGATGCCTGCGCTCCCCCTTCTTTCTCTTCATTCCCCTGGCTCCCTTCCATTTCTCCATTACTCTTGTCTCGCCTCTATTATGAATCTTATCCTTGTTGGATCCACTGGGAGAATGTTGGGGTGTTTCAGGGGGCCCACCTGAACCTCCTTTATCAGGGAGATTGTTTTGGCTCTTTTATTTTTTAGCCAAATTACCATGACAGCTGTCTTCTTTTCAGCTGTTCTTAAAAGGTGACCATCACACCTGTCATCTTCACCAGAAGCCCTAGAGTAGATTCTGTCTTGTAGTGTGAAGCAGATCTGTTATGCCATCTGTTCCTGATGATTTATTTCTCCCAAGTGCTGTGAGTGCAGCATCCACTTCACTTTGTATAATTATGGGTTCATCTTCATATGGTGCTTCCTTGACTTAATCTGTCATTATTCTATCTTTTGTATATATTTCTTCAGTGTATTGTTTCTATTGTCTTTTTGTTTTGTTTTTCTTGATCATTGTTTCCCCCTGCTGGCTACAGAACATTCCCACTCTTGGATTAAATTTCTCTTTGATTTCTCACATGAAAAATCTTGTGAAAGAGAAATTGTGTTCTACTAATTTTCTTCTAGACTTCTATTTCTCTGCATTTATTATTATAGTAGCACAAGTCACTAAATGGTAATGTTGAGCATTCTAAGTCTATTTCTTCCCCTCTCTACTATTGCTTCTCATCTGTCCTTAACTGCTTGAAGAGTTTCATCTGTCTTCCAATTAACCGATTCTTTCTTTTTTGGCTGAATCGTTTCTTTTTGTTTTCCTCCCTGACAATGTCTCTGGCTTCAGTCCAAAGCTGCCAATTAACATAATAATGCAACTCTGTCTATCTATCTATCTATCTATCTGCACTGTCCTTAAATTCTACAGGCATGTTCTTCAATTTCTATTTTGGCACTGGTTATTGCTTTATTGTTTTCTTCTGTTTTGTTTTTAACCTGTATTTTATTTTATTTTTATACTAGCAGTTCATGGTATGCCATTATATGCCTTGATCTTGTCACAGAGGGAGTGGAGCTTATCTTTCCTCTCCTTTCAATTATGTATTCCAATTAATTTCTATATTGGTCATCAGGTGATGTCCATGTATATAGTGACCTGTTTGGTTGTCTGAAGGATGTATTTGCAATTAACTATTGGTTTCATAGCTTCAATCAGTTGCTATCTTACTTCATTCCTTGATCCCAGGTCAAATTCACCAACAATTTTTGATTCTTCTCTGTTTCCTATTTTTGCATTCCAATTGCCTTTGATTAACAAAAAGTCCTGTTTGGGTATGTGATCAATTTCCTCCTGGACTCCAGCACAGAGACTTTCACTTTCTTCGCTTTTTCTCCTTCTGTAGTTACAGCATAAACTTGGATTGTCTGACTAATAATGTCCAATTTCTGTCCATTTTAGCTTGCTCACCTCAAGACACCCATTGCTTGTTTTACAATGTCTAGCTTCCCCTGGTTCATGCTTCCTACATTCTCTGTTCCTATTATATGTGTTGTACATATAGCAGTAAAATTTATATGGACAAAACCAAGTTTTTTAGTCAACCTGATTCCATGTTTGTGTGATTTAATTCATATTCTATGATCTGTAAGTTCTCTAGGTCAGCACTGTCCATATGGATCAAGGCCTGCATTGTAAAGGCCAGTGAATTCTCTAATGTGCCTTGTCCTGCAAACATTTCAGCCTATCTAAGATGATCAGACAGAGTGTTTCAATTAATGTTACCACCAAACTCTTTCCATGGTCAAGATGACCACCAAGAAAACTTCAGAAAGGCCCCAAACTAAGGGCCTTTGCAGACTGCCAGAAATAGTGCAAATTGAGTCCATTTTAAGGGTTAGGGTTAGTGCTAGGGAATCATGGGAATTGTTTTTTCTGAGACATTGAGCTTTCTCTGTTAGAGAGCTCTGGTACCACAATAAAATACAGTTCCCATGATTCCGTAATCCTAACCCTTAAAGTGGACTCAATTTGCACTATTTCTGGCAGTCTTGTGCTGCATTTGTTATTATTCATTTGCATACTTCTGCCACTCTGACCATCCCCTATTCCCCTTCTGCAAGCAGAACAAAATTGAAAAGAGGGAGAATTTACAAGTGGGGAGACATTTTGTGCAATATGTTCCCCCCAGTATCCTAATTCTACTCAACACCTGTTCTGCATTTTTTTAAAAAAAGGTTGGTTATAGCTTAGTGGTTAAGATGCCAATTCTTATTATTGGAAGATGAGAAAGTTGGCAGTTCAATGTCCAAGTGCTGCATGATGGGGTGAACTCCTGTCACTAGTCCCAGCTTCTGCCAGCCTAGCAATTTGAAAGTATGTAAATACAAATAGATAAATAGGTACCACTTTGGTGGGAAGGTAACAGTGTTTGGTGCAGTCATGCTGGTCACATGACCACTGGAGTAGTCCTCAGACAACACTGGCTCTTTGTCTTAGTAACGGAGATGAACACTGCTGCCTACAGTTTATTATGACTAGACATTCCTTCAAGGGATTACCTTTACTTTTACTTATATTATTTATATGATCCAGTCTGGTTGTATGATGTAGTGGTTAGAGTGCTAGACTATACTCTGGAGAACAGGGTTCTATTCCCCACTCAGCCATGGAAACCCACTGGGTGACATTTGGTAGGTTACCACTCTCAGGCCCAGAAATAATTTCACATTAACAGGATTAAGGAAACAATATGCAGTTAAGAAATTAATTCATTTTATATTCTTCCTACCCCACACCCAACTACACTTACAGATAGAATTGTATGGGATTGCCAACATGATATATTCAAAGCCTCTCATACACAATATATTCTTCTTTCATTTTAATAAATAAAAATTTATCTAGATGCATATTGGATTGCATCATGCAAAATATCATCTTCCACTGACAAGATTAGCTATGCAAGCAATCCCTATGCATATTTCAATATCTACCAAGTTCTGGCTCATTGAAAAACAATGTTTCTGAAGTATTTACACAATATTAAAAAATGCAGAGGCTTTTTGGTATAATTTCTGTCAATACCCTAAGAACTAACATTAATTGTTTGCCTATCTTTCTTCATAGGAATATATTTTGCATTATCTTTTCTGCAATATTATTTATTAATGTTACATTAATTTGTATTAAACTGTAACTTTTAAAAAAACACCTGAAAACAATATACAGCATTCTGTACTGTGTAACTGCACTGATTTGTTTCATCCTGTATATATGATGGTAGATGGAAATAGTGTATAGTACAAAGTTAAAAATCTGGCCCAGTTTTTCTTTTAATTTAAGAGGTTTGTTTAAAATAGCCCCACATTCTATTCTATTGATTCATGACACACATCTACATCATTTATTTCTCTTCATTAAATACTTGGTTGAAGAATGTGTAACATTAAATCAATACTTTGGAAAAGTTATCTGGCTGAGGTGGTTATAATAGACATGTGTTTGTATGTATCTTCAAGTCACTTGTGGACTTATAGTGATCCTTGAAGTTTTCTTAGGTGAGGAATGCTCAGAAGTGGTTTTGCCAGCCCTCTGAAATAAAACCTAAAAACACCTGGTATCATTTGGCAGTGTTCCATCCAAGCTGATCCTATTTAGCTTCCAAGATCAGATGGGATCTGAATATCTCTACCTATGGCTAAATTTATAATTAATTTTGTCACCAGATTACTAACATTCATGTGGAAACTGGTTCTCAACAGTAAAACAATTGCTATTGTTGTTGTGTCCTCTTTCCCCTTTGCTGGGAAACTCCATCTCATAACAGAATAATTTCTTGTTTCATTTCAAAAGAAACCTGTCTACAAATATATTATTGGAATGGCTACCAACTTTCATTCCAGAGTCGTTTAATTCAGTAGTATGAAAAGCAGTCTGCCAAGAGAGAACCAACAAGAATGAAACGGGCAACAGCCTGGAGATTATCACATTACAAAGTAAAGTGACTTATCCCTGATGGGATACGGTTGTGTTTCGGATTGTCCACTGATATCATTACATTTAAATCACTGTTGCTGCCGCCGAATCACTGCCTGCATCCCATCTGTGCTTATCCAGCCACTTTTCCAAAAAAGCTGGTTTGGAAAAGCAGCCGGATAAGCGTGGTTGGGACTTGTCATCAAGTGGCAGCAGTGGTGATATAAATGTGATAATATCAGTGAGTAATCTGAAATGTGACTGTATCCCTTTGGGGATAAGTCAGTTTACTTTGTAATGCTTTGTCTGGATGCTTAATGTAATAAAAAAAGAAATACTTTCTTATTACATTAAGCATCCAAACATACTGTTTATTGCAGCTCCAGAGAATAGTACCTGGAGCAATGGATTCAAACTATAGGAAAAGAGATTTCACCTCAACATTTTGAAGAACTTCCTGACAATAAGAACTATTTACTGACAATAAGAACTCCCAAGGAGTGTGGTGAAGTCTCCTCCTTTGGAGGTTTTTAAGGAGAGGCTGGATGGTCACCTGTTGGGGGGGGGTTGATTGTGATTTCCTGCATGGCAGAATGGGGTTCGACTGGATGGCCCTTGAGATTTCTTTCAGTTCTATGATTCTATGATTGTATAATTGAGAGTGCAACGTATTGAGAAAATTATGTGCACTGAAATTAGTTCAAGTTTCATTAATTTTATTCATGTGCAAATCTTTCCACAGGAACTGATATTATCAGATTGTGGCCTGGACTGCTTTTTATTTTAAAGGAAGAATTGGGTTTGCAATCATAAGTAAACAGAGTGAAGGCAGTGGTTCTATTTGATAAATCAAAGGAAACAAAATTATATGTATCTCATATAACTAAAAATCTTTTGCAAATATTTATATTTGAGTTTGCATCTCAGGGAGATTGTGTGTGTGTGTGTGTGTGTGTGGTATTCTACAGGATTTCAAAGTGACTACATCTGTGTATTTGTACTGAAACTGCCCTAATCTACTCTCTAGAATTATCCTGTTGGGCATCATATACTGTTATATCCAACAGCAATGGAAATCCAATTAAAACCATTGTAGGTCTCTTTCACATTATGTATAGCATGTTGCCTTGTTAATTAAGATGTTTATTAATAAAATTAGCATAAAAATTGTTAATTAAGATGTATTATATTATCTATCTGCCTGAACTTTCTATGCTACCTAGTTATTGTAAAAGTAAAATAGATCAAAGCTAGAATCATAGGAATAATAGGCCACCAAGTGGCTCAAGATTTAGTAATGTCCTTCTCTGTTCCCACACTCAACATCATTGCCACAACTTATGCAGCATTTATTTGCATAAACCATTTCTAACCCACTCTTCAGCTAAAGGGAAGCTTCCATGTGGTTGGTAAAACCAGGATCTTCTCATATGTCTACAATTTCAAGACAGGAAGGCACAAAGCAATAGCAAGTACATTTCTATACCACTTATCAGTGCACTTAAGCACTCCCTAAGCAGTTTACAATGTGTAAGCTACTGTAATTGCCCCATCAAGCTGGGTATTCATTTTAGTAACCTCAGAAACATGCAACCCTGAGTCAAGCCCCTGGCTGGTATTGAACTCACAACCTTGTGGTTTGTGATGAAAGGAGGGGAGGAGATGGTGATGGAAGAGGGTAAAATCATATCAATGTGCTACCTGCCAATGTTGTAATTTATATGGGAGAGGGAAAGAATCAGCAACTCTGAATCAGCACCACAAATATCATTGAATACACAGGAATTCAAAGTCAGACTTAAAGAGCTAGGCATTTAAGGCCATTTGCATCAGCAGGCAAATCTGTCCATTTAGTGTTTCCCTCTAAATTTAGACTTTTTTCCCCACCCCAGTTTCAAGAAATATGTATGATGGTAAAATGATATAAAAAACAGCACAGGCTGGAACATTTGACAGAAGTTGCTGAAGAGTCCAAATAATTATGTATGTGGAAAGTTGACATTTCCACTCCATACTGATATTTTGCTTTTGTCTGTGGGTGTATAAGTTAGGTTGTTCCTTAGTACTATATTTGACATTTTATGAAATTGAAAACATTGAACTTATTGCCTCATAAAAATGCACTTAATGAAATAGAAAGGAATGTTAATCATTGGATTCCAGGGAAGTTATTTTAATACAACAGATGGATTCAGTGGGTTGTATTAGTAGCTCAATTGCTGTAACACAACTTAATTCGTATATTTTTAAATCTAAGCTGAAGAATATTTATTTGAATCAGGCAGGTCATGTTTTATGGTAAGGATGTATTGTTCTGGTGTGCGCACTTGATTTCACTAGAGCTAGAGTAAAATGGCTCTCTTGCCAATTTTAGGTGATTTTAGGTTTTTCACCTTCCTCCAGAAGTTTTGGTTATTTTTTTATCCTTTGAACCTAGGTCTCCCCAGTACAATTGTATTTATTTAATCCTTTAAGTTATATCTTGTCTTTACTTGTTGTTTATTGTATGCCTTCCAGTCATTTCCAACTTATGGCAACCCTAAGGATTTCTTGGCAAGATTTGTTCAGAGTGGTTTTGCCTTTGCCTTCCCTTGAGGCAGAGGGAGTGTGACTTGCCCAAGGTTACCCAGTGGGATTCTGTGACTGAGGTGGGGGTTGAATACTGATCACCCGAGTTGTAGTCTAACACACAAACTGAGACACCATGCTGCCCCCATATGATTGAATCTGACAATGTAATGATTTTAGCTATTCATATTTATCAAGTTGTATGTATCCATACAATAAAGTTCTCCATAGTAGCTTTGTGGACTTATCATCTTGGAACACACAATAGCTAGTCAGGACATACAGTATTACCAATGTAGAAATAGCAATGACCCATTAGCACTTACAAACTAAGCATGTGGAGAAGCAGGTGCACAATGCTCTTTAGGTGAAACAAAGCACACCAACAGGCAGACATATGACAGACATAGCCATCCGCCACAAAAAGCACCTGAGACAGGGACAATGTTCTCCCAGCTATGACATATAATTGCAAGTTGCATCATATAGTAGATGCTGATGGGAATGGCAGCAAAGTACTGGAGAACAAAGCTGCATATACAGTGTTGTGCTCTGAGTGCTAGCCTTCTGCAACCAGGTACAGTAGAGGATGCTTTCTCAGCATTGGTGCTTAAGTTATATTCAAATGTCAATATGTATAATAGGGACAAGGCATCATCCTATCCTCTTCCTCAAGAAGCAAAATAATTTGGGCTGGTCCTGAACTGGCAGCCAGTTAGTACTTTGGCAATGATTGCTGGTATGCAAAGCAGGGGCTTTTTAGAAAGACACCAGAGGGCAGCCCAGTGTATTTTTATCTATGAAAAGTTATTTATTTTTATTTTTATTGTTAAAATACTCCAAAAATATAACAATAATACATATTAGAAATCGAGACATCCAGATAATTATCCACCACCTTATATCAATACATATACATATACATAAACAACAGACAAAAATAAAAAATATGACTTCTTACTCTCCAACAATCTGATACATTCTTTCCATACTTTTGTTAGCTTTGTCATTTTCCCATTTTTTCTTTATTTCTCCACTTGGATTCTTTGATCCCTCATTTTTATGTAATATCTAATTTATTATTCTTTATTTTCTTTATAATATCATGTGTCATATACCAAAA